ACTGTAAACCACCCAGAGTCACTCCACAGTGAGATGGGCAGTGACAAATTTGAAATATAAAATAAAAATTTTTTTTAAAAGGAAACAATGGAGGCTAATCTATTCTTCCCAAGAGGTGCATTCTATAATTATGATAATGCTGCTGGAAAATGTGTATGTCTGCCTAATTCATGTCTCTGAATGGGTGGATGTTAAAATCAGTGCTGTAAGACAAAGTCTTAAAATACCTATTTTGCCCTGGGGTTCCAGTCATTAATTTTCTATATGGAGGGTAAGTCACATAGTAATAGTGTACTGTGTCACTATTTTTCTTGCTCCTGATTTTTTTTTTTAACATGCCAAATTCACTTACTTTTTTCCCCTACTATGATTCAGAGAACAGGTTTTTTTCCCTGTGTATAGGATAGTCTAAAATGCTTTAATTAAATTATCATTCTGTAATTTTAAGCAATGTAGCTTACTTGGGTCATATAGCTTTGTCATGCCTTTTCAGGTTAGTGGGGGAAGAAACCAAGCTGTTTTAGGTCTGCATTTTTTCAAGATCTGCATTTTATATATGTTTATCTAGTTATTTTGTGATCTTTCTCTTTTAAGGATTTCCACTGTCAGTCTACAGAGGTAAAGCAACGTTTTATGAGAGCCATGCACAGCAGTTCCAAAGTGACAGCAAGAGACATTGGCACAGCTTTTGATCTTTCACAGTTCAGAGTTGTATGTGATTTGGGAGGTAGATATTACGATAATACCACCCCTGCATATTGACAGAAAATGTTCTAATGTACAGTTGTGATTAAACAGATGGTTTTTGGAAAGATCCTATAACATATCTTTAATTACGGGGGCCCCGTAATTTAATTAAACCCCCCATTTAGTACTTCAGCGAGATAATATACAGTCAAAACACCGTTTTAGGTAAATGTAATTCTTTCTGTGTTCCTGGATCCTTCACTTAAATGTTCAAAACTACATAGCAGTTGGAGATAACTTTATGTTCAGCAACTACTGTTGTACCCAGCCATGGCACATCATGCTCTCGCAGGATTTTTTTCCATCATGTTCCCGTAACATTTCCTTCATTTAGTCCCCAGCTCATGAGGAATAAAAGTTTAAGTTATCCTTAATTGTACTGGTATTAAAGTAGTATCCTTTCAAGGTGTATAAAATCTGTGTGTCACCCATTAACTAGGAGGGAAATCAGATGATTGGGAATAGAAACAGTACAGACAGATTAGGATCGGTATTGGGACAGCAGATATAATACCAGTATAATTTTATGCCAGCTGAAGAATGTGAATAGCTTTTGAAAAGCTTAACAATATGAATGTTATTGTCCCATCTAACCATTAAATGCAGATTTTTTATCAATTTTATGGGAGATCTTGCAAATGCAACATGGATTCTATCTGAATAACTTCTTCTTGCTCTTCCTCCTCGTACTCGTCCTCTTCTCCTCTTCCTCCTCCTCTTTTTTCTTTCCCACCTTTTTTATATATAACTCAAGGCACTAATATAAATTTCTATATTCTCTCTCTGTAGGTTGCACTGGAGCTTTAGCTTATGATCTAGTCCAGATCTACCCAGAAATGCAAGTCATTGTCCTGGATCTTCCTGACGTTATTACAGATGTCACCAGCTGTCAGCTTTCAAGGCAAAATGCTTGTGAAGTATCCTTTCTATCAGGTAAATGTGTTTCTGCCATTTATAGACCAAGGCAAGGGCACTTGTAGTCCTGTGGACCTTGTCATTTCATGTGGATTAGTGACCTGCTTTGCAAACCTGGCTCGTTTTGATAGACTTGGCCTAGCTCAATATTACATTGCAGTAGTAGTGCAGAAATAATCCAGATCTCAATAAAAAATTCCAGTTACGTCTACAATAAAATGTTGATGTATGTGACTGCAAATGAAGCTAATACTCAACTTGTTTATTCTAACAACTTGGTTCTAATCAAAATGTTGACAGAAATATTCTTCACATTTTCTTTAGTATAGTAGCCAGGAAAAGATTAATAGCTAGCTATACATATAAGGCAAATAATAGCAAAATTACAGCACAAGATCTACTTAACCAGAAGTGATGCTACAAGCAATTAATTAGGCAAAAGAAAACGGGGGACATGAAAGCATTATGGACTTGCAGCAGCTATTTTAAGATTTTACCATTCCAAAGGAGATCAGTATATACCTGCAGCCCGTAAGCTCTTTGAGGCCAAGTCCCTAGCTCAATTACTATATGGCACACGACTTGGACCACCCCCCAACCTTGCACCACTGGAACTTATTCAATCTAAATTTTTAAGAGCAATTTTCCAAGTTCCTTACTGTGTCTTCAGTGCTTCACTGTGCATGGAGGCTAGAATGGTGAGAGTGGAGACTAGAATATGGCAAGTTGTGTTACACTACTGGTTGAAGCTGACACTTTTCCCTAGAGGCTTAGTTCCACTGACATTGGAAGACAAATTTCAAAATGGGTAGAAATAATCAGCTTACAACAAGCTCTTTTTCCTAGGCCTTTCCCCCACTTACTTACTATCTCTGGACTACGAGCAAGCATGGGTCACACTTAAGCAATGTCTGTTTGACATAGATCATCAAAAGGAGGCTGGTAATGCCACTCAGCTTCCCATGGCAGATAGCTGGAGATACACTCTGGCACCAGCTTTGCATCTCACACAGCTTAACATCCCAAATCAGAGAAGGGCCTTTACCTTAGCTTGATATAACGCTCTCCTGTCAGCACTTCTGGCTGGAAGATACAAAAAGACATGTAGAAACTATTGAACATGTTCTTCTGCATTGCCAGCTTTATACAAAACCTTGAAACACCCCAGTTACCCCACTCCTGACCAGCAAAACAGGATACAACAATCAACAGTATAAGCAATTTCTACTTTACGACATCAACCCTGAAATAACACATGCACCAGGTTGCCAGGTTTTGTGTGGCAGCATGCAAAATTAGGCAAAGAATAATTCAGAGCCATTGACCTGCCTGAGTACGGATAGCCAGAAATGGCTCAGACTCAGCATTAACCATTGGCTGCTCTTTAACTTTTTTTATGATTTGGTGTGTACATGCCATGTCAGCTATTGCTCTATATGCTTCTCAGTTTATAATTCTTAAATCTCTTTTGGGTATTTTTATTGTTTTATTTATGAATATGTATATATGTATATGTATATATGTATGTGTATTTGTACTGTATTTATATGTTACGTTGCTATTTCAAAGTTTATATTACCTGAATTGCTAATTTTAATCCCTTTTGTTGCATATGTGTGGCCTGAGCAAACCCCTTAGCCTATTTTGATTTAATACGGTCTTTTAGCCAAAATTCTTTGTCTGCATGTACCTTTCCTAATTATCCTGATACTGTCAATTTAGTTTTGGATATTTGGATACCAATTCCCTTGTGCTGGTTAATGACCACAATAAAGTTATTTA